CCCATGAACCCTCCAGCACCCTGTAGAGGGTATAGAGCTGGTCCAGTGTTCCCCGGCCGGGACGAAACCCCCACTGTTCCTCCTGAATCCGAGGTTCCACTATCGGCCGTATTCTCCTCTCCAGTACCCTGGCATAGACTTTCCCAGGGAGGCTGAGGAGTGTCAAGTCAAGTCACATTTATTTATATAGCGCTTTTTTACAATACAGAGGGTTTCCAGCTTTACAGAGATAACGGAAAAATATTGCAAAAAAGTTTGTTTCCAGAAGAAAATAGCGTCACAGGACAGTGATCAGTGATGGTTCATTTTTGTTTTAAAAAAGTTATTACTTTAGTTCATTTATATATATATAGCCGCTCTGGAGTAAACCGTGATGTCATCGTCCAGCTCAGTTCAGTTTTTGTATAATAGTGTAAATGCAGGCAGATCAATATTATTGTTGAATATTAAATTTAATATCCCCAACTAAGCAAGCCAAGCCAATGGCAACAAAGGTGGAAAAAGGCGACCATCACCAAAACTCCATCAGTGACAGACCGGAGAAAAAACCTTGGGAGAACCCAGGCTCAGTTGGTGGGCCAGTTCTCCGCTGGCCAACAAATGAACAAGTGTATGATTGTAGTTGGAACACACCCTCCGGTCCCCTTTCTTGAAAAGAGGGACCACCACCCTGCCTAGAGGTACCGTCCCCGACCGCCACGCGATGCTCCAGAGTCAGCCGAGACAGCCCCACAACATCCAGAGACTTGAGGTCATCAGGGCGGATCTTGCCACCGAGGAGCTTCAGCTTGGGTGATGGACGAGTCCACCTCCGAGCCCTCGGCCTCTGCTTCCTCAATGGAAGACGTGTCGGTCGGATTGTGGAGACGACATCCCCAGTTGAGGTCAACAGCTGCCCAGCTCCTGGACAATAACTTTATTCTAGAGCTGCTGTAAAGGCAAAACTATCTCTGTTACTTTAATTTCCTATTATCACTGTAAAGCTGCTTTGAAAGAGTCCATATTGTTAGTCCACAAGGGCCATTGGAGGGAATGTGACACGGACACCGGGGTTAAGCCCTTACTCTTTACCAGGAGTGCCATGGGATTTTTAATGACCACAGAGAGTCAGGACCTCGGCTTAACGTCTCATCCACAGGACGGTGCTCTTTGAAAGTATAGTGTCCCCATCACTACACTGGGGCGTTAGGACCCACACAGAGCACAGGGTGAGTGGCCTCACTAACACCTCTTCCAGCAGCAATCTGGGTTTCTCAGGAGGTCTCCCATCCAGGTACTGACCAGGCTCAACCCTGCTTAGCTTCAGTGGGGGACCAGTCTCGGGCTACAGGGTGATATGGCTGCTTTGTAACAGTCCATATTGTTAATAGCGCTATATAAATGAAGGTGACTTGACTTGACTCCACTGGTAGGGCACTGCTTCCCCCTCCTGAGGCGCCGGACTGTTTGCCAGAATCTCTTCGAGGCCTACCGGTAGTCCTTCTCCGTGGCCTCACCGAACTCCTCCCAGGCCCGATTTTTTGCCTCCACACCTGCCCGGGCTGCAGTCCGCTTGTACCGGTACCCGTCAGCTGCCTCCGGAGTGCCACCCGCCAGGCCCGACAGGACTCCTTCTTCCGCTTGACGGCATCCCTTACTTCCGGTGTCCAGGTTCGGGATTGCCGCCTCGACAGGAGACCTTACGACCACAGCTCCGAGCGGCCGCGTCGACAGGTGGAGAACACGGTCCACTCGGACTCAATGTCTCCAGACTCCCTCGGATCCGTCGACGCTCCGCCGGAGGTGGGAGTTGACGATCTCTCGGACAGGGGACTCGGCCAAACGGTTTGTTCATAACTTTGCCAGAACGTTCCCTGTTCGCTGGACTCACTTTCACTGCATGTATAAAGAGCAGCGTGAACATTCTGCCAACTATCTGCAGTTCCACAAGAGTCACAGTGAGAAACAACATGAGTGTGAAGAGACGATGACAGGAGGTTGATGTGAGTGTGTGAGTGTGTGAGTGTGTGTGTGGAGTGGCTTTGATGCATGAAGGGTTTGAATTCCTGCGCTGTCATGACGTGTGTCTGTGTGCGTGTGTCTGTGTGTGTGTGTGTGTGTGTGTTAGTGTGTGTGTAAGTGCATGTGTGCATGCTTGCGTGTGTGTGTGTGTGTGTGTGTGAGCGATCGACGCGCTTCAGCAGAATCTGTCAGACAGGCAGCAACACGTTCACCTGACTCTCTCTCTCTCTCACACACACACACACACACACTCTCTCTCTCTCTCTCACACACACACACACACACACACACACACACACACTCTCTCTCTCACACACACTCACTCTCTCTCTCACACACACACACACACTCTCTCTCACACACACACACACACACACACACACACACTCTCTCTCTCACACACACACACTCACTCTCTCTCTCACACACACGCACACACACTCTCTCTCCATCTCTCTCACACACACACTCTCTCTCTCTCACACACACACACACACACACACACACACACACACACTCTCTCTCTCTCTCTCTCTCTCTCTCTCTCACACACACACACACACACACACACACACACACACACACACACACACTCACTCTCACACACACACACACACACACACACTCTCTCTCTATCTCTCTCACACACACACTCTCTCTCTCTCTCTCTCTCTCTCTCTCTCTCTCTCTCTCTCTCTCTCTCTCTCTCTGCAGGTGAAGCTCGTGTTGTTGCGCTGAGATTCTCTCGCCTGTTAGTAATAAGTTTTGAGCTCCGACTGCAACTGGCCCTCTAGAACATTC